GCCCTTGCCGTTCTTCCTAAACACAGTTTTCCAGTGTCTATCTGGTCATTCATTTCCTGTACCAAGGCAGAAAGGTCAGAGACCATGGATGGGGACAGAGGCCTGGGAGTCTGCAGTGGCAGGAGCAGATGTAGGGTGGGGCTGGTGGTTCTCCTCTGGAGAGCACCGGCCTGGTCATTCCTGGTCTCCCTCAACCCTCAGAAGTCTAGGTGAATGGAAGGCATCCGTCTGCTCCCTGCAGCCCAGAGTTGCTCCCACACACCTGGTCCCAAAACAGGGCTGATGACTGTGCCAATAGGAGCTTCCTAGACATTGAGGACCTGTGGATGAGCAGCCAGTATGACTTGACCTGAGGTCTGGCACCTGTCAGGCCAGGGGACTGTGCCCTCTTCATCTTCCATACTGTCCTCCGCCTTCCTGGGGAGTTCCCCGTCCTTCTTTGCTTTTTTGGCCCCAAGGCAATCGTGTGGTCGGAGGGTGTGTGTGTGTGTGTGTGTGTATGTACACATGCATGTGTAAATCATCTAGGTGGGGAGGAGTGTCAGTGGTGGTGGTCTTGGCTTGAGGGCAGCCAAGCTAAAAGAGGAGGAACCAGCTTTCTGGATCAAGGTTCTAGAAAGTCCTTACATCCGAATTCTGCTAGTTCTGGGACTTTTCAGCAGAGGGCTGTGGGAGGGGCTTCCTGATGGAGGAACAAGTGTAACCAGACTCCTGACTTCCCTAGAAAGGGTGGCTCCCTTCTCAACTGAAAACTCAGGATAATTATTTCTTTCTAAGGCGCTGAGGATTAAATGAGATGACCTATATTAAAAATGTGTGTTTGATGGATGTTTTCTCTTCTGTTAATTAACCCCCTTTGAAAGGGTGGAGAAAGCAATCTTTATCTGGATTTCTTGGACCTCAGCCCCAAAGTCCAGTAACTTCTTTTGAGTTTGTGAGTTTTACTGTGCTCTTGTCTCTCCTGATAAAACAGGAAGAAATGGGCCGAAAATGCAACTCAAAGAATTTAGGGAAAGAAATCATTTCCTGAGGTTCTGGAATGATCAGAAAAAAAAATTGGGGGTCTCTAGGTCTTTTGCAAACAGGAGGCATTCCCCATTTGTGGGATGTTTGGTGTGCACTGCATCCAGAAGGCCAGAGCATAGACATGAATCCTTCATAATTCCCACTCCCAACAGATTCTGTTGGTAGTCCCTAAATAGTCCCTGAGTCACTCTGTGCCTCAGTTTCCCCATCTGTATCAGAGATGCTTGTTCCTCGGACAGGAGGTGAGGATTGTCTTGAACAGTCTGTGCAGGTTGTGAGTAAGGTGTGGCGACAGATCCAAGTGTTCCAGGTCATTGTTCCCACAGCTACAGTATTCGTAACATCCTTATTTATCGTGGTTAGCATTCTCCCCAGGAGTCATGGCTGGGCCACTGAGTACTGGCTTTTACTAGTCCCCAGAAGCCAGGTCTGGAGCTGTTAAGGGCAAGCAGTCGTCTCCCCTATTTCAGCACCCCACTTTCTTCCAGAGGGCTACTAACTCTTTACAGGAGTGGCAGACCCTGGCACCAAACCTTTTTGCCTCCTGGCAAAAGTCTTTCTCTTTTATCATGTGCATTTACACATTCAAGGGTTTGTGTGAGAATCCTAGGCAATTCCTTATTGCTATCCTTTCTCTCTTCTCCATCCTCCAGACACCAATCTGTACCCTCGAGCCCCAGAGGCCTGCTGCTCTGCTTTTAGCCTGGCAGAATGGTTGACCTGATCCAACAGGCATAAAAGACTGAGCAAGAGTGGGAGTCGGGTGGAGATCAGACAGGTGATTTCCACTGCCACTGAGTGCCCCTCAGGCTGCTGATGCAACCAGTACACGAGGGAGAATGTCCTGAGCCCTTCCCACCTGGGAGGAGGGATTCTGCACTAGAGCCCTGGAACAGATCCCATGAGACAATAGGTCCCAGGAGCCCCTTAGGATGTATCGTAGTGGGTGAGAGATGCACCATTGTAGATCGTCCTGAAATATTAGGAACTCTCCTGCTCAGAGATGAACTTTGCTCTCTATTTTGCCACCAGGAGAGGAGGCTTTTATGTTTGTATTGATATCCAGGAATTCCTCTTGCTAGAACAAATTTCTCCACTTAGATAATGATTGGGCCAGGTCTATTGATCTTAATCAGGGGAGGCAGTGACATGCTGTCTGTGGGGAGTGTTTGGTCCTGCGCTCTTGCTTGTAACCTTGAAGTCCTGGAAGTTCCACAGCGCAGCAGGTGGCCTTGCAGGGGCTATCTGCAGCTGTTGACCAAGTTAAGAAGAGAGAGGTCAGGAATCAGTTATGAAGACAGAAGATCCCAGTCCTGGGGCCGGCGTGGTCCAGTGCTCACAGTTGATGCTATCAGGCATTCTTCATTGTCCGGAGGTTGTAAGGAAACTCATTTCACAATCTGCAGCCCAGAATTGAAAGTCCTTAGCCGAGAAGCAGCCGGGCTTTGGAGGTGTTTGCCTATGACCTTTTCTCTCACCACACCCTGGGGCTCTTGGGAGGAGCTGAGGTCTGAGCTGCAGTGCCAGGATGCTGTCTCTGTCAGTGCGGGCGTTCTGCTGCCTTCCTGGGTCCTGTCACAGCCTTCTTGCTCAACCACTGGGTGCGCAGGATGGAAACTGCTCTCCCCGATCTGGAAGACAGCGCGTGGCTTGGCTTCTTAGAGTTGTGGCTGGAGACTGAAACAGCCGCCCCTTTACCGGGCTTTCTGTAACCAGACCGTGTTGGGGGACAGGGAAGCCCTCCATGCCCTACAGGCCCAAGAAGATGGAAAGACGAGTGGTAGGCAGGATACTCAGGCGCTTCCCCAACTGGCTGCTGCGAGGACGCCGAGCAGGTCTGGACTGGATCGCCCACTTCCCTTTTTCCGGGGTGGTCCTCTTCGAGGAGGTTGCTTCTTCCTTGAAATGTTTCTTTTTCTTCTTCCTTTTATATTTCAGCCTCCACCTGGTTCCCCATGTGACTGTGCTCGGAGGTTTCCCCTTCTGGTCTGCAGAGTCGGTCATGCCCTCTGTGGGGGTTGGTGTGGTCACAGCCACGTGGCTCTCGAGCCTGTTCTGATTTATTGAGTCCAAGTCTGCTTGGGGCACAATGTCTCAGGTAGTCAGTCTCTTGTCACCCTGGGGCCAAGGGCCTCCCAGGCGGCCTCCCCAGTACATTTCCTTGACTGTTGAATCTGTGTTTTCTTTCCTCCTCTTGGCTCCTTGTGGCTCCAAATCTTCCAGGGCAGGCAAAGAAACTGTCCAGTTGGCTCTGATTCTGTGCCGGGATCTGAGGTGGTGGGCGGGCTCCGGGGACCTCAGCGTTGGCATGGCGGCTTGGAGGTGTGCAAGTTGCCCAGAGCAGCACAGCCTCCACCTGGGGCTTGGATCAATGAGATACCAAGTGAGCCCTGGTGTCTTGGTTTCAGTGCCTCTCCGGGACAATTCGGGGGAAGCTGTAAAGGAACCAGAAAGAGCCCAGGAGCACTATCTGCCCAGCTTTGCCGGAGGGCAGCACTTCTTTGAGTACCTCCTTGTGGTTTCCCTCAAAAAAAAGCATTCAGGGGAGGACTATGAGCCCACGATCACCTACCAGTTTCCCAAGGTAAGGACTGACGGAGGGGGCTGGGGGTGGAAGAGGACTGCGGTATCTGAGAGGCGGTGGGGAGGGGGGTGCCCTTTCCCTCCCTGACCAGGGCTGGAGTCTGGAGCTGCCCTGAGCTCACCACTCCTGTTTCCTGCAGGCCCAGCCCTGTTTTCTGTTATCACCCACAGAATCTAGGTCTGGCCTCTTTGTGAGGAACTGATCTCGGCTCCCTAGCCGGGAAACGAGGCCAGTTCTTCTGCCCTTTTGGGGGGCCTCCTAGTTCTTTCAAATTCCATCCTCAGCCACCCTGTTCTGTAGAGAAGCTTACCTTCTGCCACAGGTCCTTGGAGGAACCCTTTCCCTGGAGTGGATGGGAAGGACAGGGCAGGGCAGGACAGGTACATAGCTGATGGGCAGACATCAGTCTCCTTCTTGTCTGGTCCTGTGGTTGGTGAAGCAGCGGGGTTAGCTTCGCTTACCCTGTCCAAGCGGTGACTGAGCTGGCCACATCTCTTCTCTGATGTGGTCCTCCCAGGAAGCCAGGCGGTCTCTGGGCCTTTCTGTATTCAGCGTGGTCCTGGCTCCCTTCCTAACTATGTAGATCCTTGGGATACTCAAGTCCAACTCAGGTTCATGTAGCCTTGGCCCAGGAAGAGCTCCTTCGGCCCTGGGGTTGTGCCAGCCAGAGGCCCAGGATGCAGTCTCTGTGCAGAGTGACGGGCAGAGATACGCTTGGAGCCACACGCCAGTAGAAAAGCTTATTCTCAGACTGCTTTCGAGCCTCAAGAGAAGCCCACCAGGCCTCAAGCCCTCTCCACCTGCTCGTACCTCCAACAGTCCACCTGTCTCTGCCTCTTCCTTACAGAGGGAGAACTTGCTTCGGGGCCAACAGGAGGAGGAGGAGCGGCTGCTCGGAGCCATCCCCTTGTTTTGCTTCCCAGATGGGAATGAGTGGGCTCCACTCACTGAGTATCCCAGGTAATTGCCCGGCCCTAGGACAGGGGAATCTGGGATGGGAGGAGAAGGGATAAGTGTGAGCCATGTGATTCCTGCGCCCTTCTCAGTTGGAGTATATGCTGATTTCTCATCAGCTTCCTTCCTGATGGGGAGGGACCGGAGTTCATTCATTTCTAAACATTTGTCTGGGGTCCGTCTCTGGAGGCAAGCAATCTTAGCTAACCAGTCCTCTCTGTCCAGAGAAGGGCAAGTTTCTCTCACCTGTCCTAGGAGTGAGAATCACTGCGTTTTGACTGCCTCTGACAGAAGATGGCCTTAAGAGAAGGCCTTTGGTCTCTAAGGAGTCCCTTGTATGGCAAAGTCCTTTATACCTTGAGTCCTAGAACTGAGCTCGAATTTTGGCTTTATCACTCATGAGGTGAATGAACTTGGATAAGAAACACTCCCTCAGAGTCTCAGTTCCTTCATCTTTAAAGTGGGGAAAGTCATTGAACCTACCTCAAAGAGTTGTTCGGAGAATTAAAGGAGGTGATGCATTTAAAGCTTGACACCAATAAGCACTTTAGGTAAATTACTGGTGTTCCGATTACTCTCAGGATTAGTCAGCAGCTCTCCTTGACCCATCTCACCCGCCTTGGCACCCCTCTGGTGCTGGCCGCCGTCCTGTTTTAGAAGCTGGTGAGCAAGTGCTAACTAGGTCTTGTCTGCTCATCCTCAGGGAGACCTTCTCCTTCGTTCTGACCAACGTGGATGGAAGCAGGAAGATCGGATACTGCAGGCGTCTCTTGGTCTGTGCAGCTCAGAACTGTCCCCTCTCCTCTGCAGCCTGCTCCGCTCCGCAGCTGGGGTTGCTCTAGCCCCAGTTGCAAAAGCCAAGGCTCTCTGGCAGTGGTGGTTGTAGACTGAGCACAGCCCAGCACCTGCTGCCATGTTAGTGCCGTCTGCAGCCTCACAAGAATGGGGGCACACCCCCCTCCTCACCCACCTCCGGGACCTTTGCTTTGGTCTTTACTCTCTCCAGCTTTCAAGCGTTCCCCTGTGAGGGAGGCTTCACCACAATCTGCCCTCCACCATCTCTATCCAGGCCTCGTTGCCTTGGCCCCTGGGGCCTCCCAGAACCTGGCCTGGGATTTGAACAAGGTTCAATCCTTGGGTCTCTCTAAGTCACTTTCAGAGCGCCCCCTCCCTCGTTTTTTCCCTCATCTCTACAACACACATGTTCCCTCTTTGCTGACCCCTGATGGTGTTGGTGCTGTCCATGAGCCATCCACCCCCTTAAGGCCATCTTTTTTTTTTTCAGTGACCGCTCTGGCCTCCCTGCTGCCTGTCCCTTGAATGGGACCTCTGTGCAGCCAGGCCTTTCTCCATCCCGCCCACCACCCGCGGTGAATCCCCCAGCCCCAGCCACCAGCCCCGTGCCCCATCAGCCCCAGCTGGGCGGAGGCCCTGGGGGGGCGTGCGGCACTGAAGGAGCCTCTCTGTCCCCGCAGCCCGCCGGCCGCGGCCCTCGCCTCCCCAGGGTGTACTGCATCGTCAGCTGCATTGGCTGCTTCGGCCTGTTCTCCAAGGTAGGGGCGGGACAGGATTCCTTGGGGCCAGTTTGGCCTGTTCAGCCTCCAGGTCTGTCTGGCCGCCTGTCCTGTCTGTGCTCCCTGCACTCCTCCCCCACGGTCGGAGTCAGGCGAGGCGCTCGGGGGGAACCGGCGGAGAGGTGCTTGGGCTTGACTTGATTTTCGGGAAAAGTGGGAACTGAACCCAGAGGACTACTTCCCCTGCAGCAGAGAATCTGCTGCCCCAGGGCGGAGAGTATAGCTCAGCGGTAGAGCGCATGCCTAGCATGCATAAGGTCCTGGGTTCAATCCCCAGTGATTTCCCTAAAAAAATTTAAAAAGAAAGAAAGAAAGAGAATCTAGTAAGATGTCTAGTAAGAAGGCAGCTGGAGCAGGACAGTGGGGAGAGCTCCACATCTGGAATTCGGAGTTTCAGTTTCCTTGTTTGTCGAATGCATCCCTCCCCTTCTATTTCATGGGTTGGTATGAGGTGATATGTGAACAAAGCAGAGCACTAAACAAATATATAGACTATGCAATGGGACTTGGGACTTGAGGGGGCTCCCTCTGACTCCTTTCAGGGTAGAAGGGAAGTTGAGGTTTCCAAGGATTTCTGCTGTAGCTAATTTGTGTGGCTCCGTGCCTGAGCTGAGTTCAGAGAGAAGTCCTTCAGAGTGGATGGGACATGTCTTAGTGGCACAAAAGGGCGTCAGTGTGCTCTGCCACAGGCATCCATCCTTTGGAAGGATGAAGGCAGTAAACTCAAACAGCCTTTGCTTGGGCGGAGTGTTCATCTGTGCGGAGTTCTGAGCGATGGAGGCCGTCCCTCCCTGGGGAGTCTCCAGTGGAAGTTGAAGGGCAGAGTGGCACCCAGCAGGCCCAGCTTCCATGCTCCTACTCCAGCCAGGACAAACGAACAAGGTACCATCGTGGATGATGAGTTTACTCTAGGACGACTTCCTGGGGAAGGTCGTCTATGTTGATGTTAGGAGAAAGGAGGAATATGGATTGGTAGACAGAGGATGAAAAGAATATGGCTAGGAAAAAGGGGGTTTTGTGCAGGAGATAAACAGCAGACTTGTTTCTGCCAAAGAGGAAAGAGAACCAGTTAAGGATTGGCTGGACCAGTGTGGGAGCCTCACATATGAGATCTCTGCCACCCGCCCAGTAGCATCCCTTTGAGTCATGTCTCCTGGGGTTCTTTTCTGTGCAGATCCTGGATGAAGTGGAGAAGAGGCATCAGATCTCCCTGGCAGTCATTTACCCATTCATGCAGGGCCTCCGAGAGGCAGCCTTCCCTGCTCCTGGGAAGACCGTCACCCTCAAAAGCTTCATCCCCGACTCAGGCACTGAGGTGGGTGAGCAAAATGGGTGAGACCCTCCCCAGCAGGAGGGGGCGGGTTTCTGTGGCACGGCTCCTCATGGAGCTTCCATTCAGCAGGTTCACATTCAGAGAAACTGAGCCAGGTAGGGAGTGGGGCTTGGCTTGAATTATTCACAGAGCTAAAAATCAAACCCAAATTTTCTGATCCTTCCAACCTGATGCTCACAAGGACCTAGTCACCGCTCAAGCCACCAAGATTTTTATTTATAATAAATAAGCTATGTAAGCTGAGGCTCCTGGTACTAAAATGGCCTTTGCCCCCAGCCCCTAAACTGCCACTTTTCCCCATTACCTCCCTTATCTTCCTGTTTCTGTCCTGTATCTCTAGCTTATGGCCTCCACCTGTCTGTTTCTTATCACTCATCCCCACCCCTGAATCCCCACCCATGCCATATGGGGGATGTTACTGTTTTAAGACACTGAGCGGACAACGCAGCAGGTAGAACATTGTTTTAAGAATTCCAGCCCTGATCCATGGTACTCCGGATAATCTGAGTGTCCCTTTGAACCTTGGTTTCCCCATATAAGAATAAGAGGAGGGGGCTAGGCTTTTTCACTTACTCAAAAAGCAAGTATGAAAGGCCTGCTGTGTGCCAGGGCGCACTATTTTCCGGCTCTGAGGTGGTAAATAAAATGAATGTGGTTCCTGACCTTATGGCGCTAAAAGGCCAGTGGGGGAGGCAGACGTTAAATAAGTAAACACACACATGAATAGATAATCAAAACTTGTACGATTGTGACGAAAGGAAAAGAAAACAGGATCCTGGGTGAGAAAAGGGTGAGAAACACGTGTTGCATTAGGGGGCCCAGGAAGGCCTTTGAGACAACAAGGAGGGTAAGAATGAAGAGAGAAAATGTGGTCAATCAACTACAATTTAAAAAAATAATTAATCAATCAACAACTAAAAAACAAAAGAAGAATGAAGGGAGGAGAGCAATCCAGAGGAGGAAAGAACCTCAGGCAGGACACAGCATGACATGCTCAAGGAACCGGAAGGGGTTGATGAGACAAGCGAGGTGGGGGAGATGGCGGGAGAGGCAGGGCCTCGTGTGCCATGCCAGCGTACATCTGCGTTATCCTCAGAGCAGAGGGGAACTGTGGGTGGGTTTTTAGCAGGAGAGAGACAGGATCAGATTCCCTCCTGGGGGGAGAATGGGGTGGAGACTGGTAGAGGCCCAGCTTTCTGGGGTCTGTGTGATTTTTCAGTGTGCTGACCCCCTCTCTCTCTGGTTGCCCCACAGTTCATCTCATTGACGCGGCCCCTAGACTCCCACCTAGAACATGTGGATTTTAGTTCTCTGTTGCGTTGTCTCGGTTATGAGAAGATTGTTCAGATCTTTGCCTCTGCTGTGCTGGAGAGAAGAATCATCTTCCTGGCGGAAGGTCTCAGGTAGGTCCAGCCACTGAGCAGCTCACCTGAACTGATTGGCATCCCTGGGTTCCAGGGAACAGACCCGAGGGTTCTCCAAGGAAATCAGGCCACAGGACCCGTGTGCTCACCCTGCTGCCTCCCGGTCTTGACTTGCACTAAGTCTAGAGAAATAAGCTTTTGCAATCCCCCGTTTCTGCCTTCAAACTTAATTGCTGCCTAAGCCTGAAGCAGGTCCCTGATTTAGCCCTGAGAAGGGCTTGGAGTACTCCTGTGACAGCCCAGGTGGAGACCAGTTAGGTGGATGCAGACATGATTCTTTTCTTGAAACGCTGAGGGAGGGAGGGAGGGAGGGTGGAGGACAGGGCAGGAAGCCATATAATGGTACGGAAGTCAAGCCCATCATCCTTCACCGCAAACATATCTTATTTGTCCACTTGTTCACCCATCCAACAAACATTTATTGTGTGTCAGCTGTTTACCAGATGGTAAACTGGTATCAGGAAGATACAGACATACAAGATGTGGTCCTTGACCTGAAGGGGATATAGAATTATGTAGTGATTGAAAGCACTGGTGTTGAAATCAGCAGAATAAGGTTCCGGTTCTTTCCTTCAACCTTTAGCTACATGATTTTCTGTAGGTTAGTTTCTTAACTTCTTAAAGTCATGATCCTCTTGTCTGTAAAATGGAGATATTGACTGTACTGACCTCATCAGGATGTGGTGAGGATTAAATGAAATAATCCCATTAGATAAGGAGCACCCCGCAGGCACACATTGGTAAATGCTAGCTGTGATTCTTAACAATAAGCTCGCAGTTGAGTATATTCCTGTGTATAGTTGAAGCAGAGTAATATCATGTCTTGGTCTCTACCTCTTAGGGGCTTCAAGTTTGAGAAAGATGGGGAGACATGTGACAGAACAGAGAAGGGAGAAGGATCATAAAACAGGAGAAGGTTGAACTGTTCACGTCTGGGGATGAAGAAAGCTGATGACACTGGGCTCACCACCTTGGTTTTATCTTTTAGGGAAGAAGAAGAAAAGGATGTTAGGGACCCAAATGTTAGGTCAGAGGGTCAGGTGGATGTCATGGGTTTTAGAGGACAGGAAGCTTGGGCAGGGAATGGAGTCTGTGGGTTGAAAATTCTGTACAAACCAGTAATAACCAAAAAGGCACCAGTGGTAGGCTAATCCTTGAGGAAGTGGTGTGAGCTTTTATTTTTTTGGAAATAGCTCTTCCACTCTCGGCCCTGTAGGGAAGTGAAAAGTTTCTATCCTGGGTAGAGCTGGGATTCTGTCCTTTTCCCCCTAAGATCGGTGTTTCAGAAGTGAAGGCGACTCCAGGTGTCCGCTGGCCTGGCCATGGGCTCACCTCTGGACAGTAACTTTCTTCCAGGAGACCCCACCTCTCCCCACTTCTTTCCCACACTGAGTGTTTCAGGTTTCTGAAGCTCAGGCAGGAAGGGGACTTCCAGTCAGCCCAAGTCTTGGCTAGACTCTCAGAGTCTCCATCTTTCTAACTCAGGAAGTGCTAGCTTGATACCAAGAACTGAAACAAGGTTTCCGCATCTGTGTTTATATTGGCCGTGGCTTTGGGGCAATTTGAAGAAACGAAGAGCCATGAAAGCTAGTGGAGAATAGAGAAGACAGAGGGTGGGGTTGTGTGTGTGGGTTGAGGGGGGAGTGGGAGGAGCTGAGGCCCAGTTGTGACTTAGGCAATAATTACGCAGGGATGCTTCATTGCAAAGGGTGGAGGAGCCACCTCAGTGGGACTTTCCGGGTAGAAATTGCTGGTAAGAGGTTCCTGGAATCTAGGAATTTCCCACACAAACACAGGCACCAACCTGGTAGCTTTAAATATTTAATTTAAATTTTATAAATATATATAAATATAAATAAATATAAATATTTAAATTTAAATAAATTCCTGTGCCCAGAAAGCCGTGAGAGTTAAAGGCTGGGGATGAGACATAAAGGGGGGAAATAAGGCTTGACCTCTCTGCTGTACTCCAATGTTTACATATTTGTCTCCTTAACGACACTGGGAGTTCCTTAAAAGCAGGGTCAGACTCATACTTCCTGGTATCCACATCCTTGGCCCAGGGGTACACATAGAGAAGGGCCTTAATCAATGATCTGTTTGAGTGGAGCCATTTCTTCTCCCTTCCTCTCTTTAGAGCTACTTCTCCCTGCCCCCAGTAGTGAGTTGAGGAGACTAACTGGGAAAAAAGGATCAAATAGAGGCCCCATCCTTGATGAGAGGAGCCTTAGCTCCTCCTGGTTTCTGCCCTCCTCTCCCAGCTAAAAGGAGTCACAGCTCTGAGACCAGCCTGGCTCCCAGACTTGCTTTCATATCCCCTCGGGCAGCACTCAGCTGCTGCTGCCTGTGGTGGGCTGGGTGGGGGTGGCGGCTCAGGGAGGTCCCCCTGACTCTGATTCTCTGTGCCCTATCCCCAGCACCCTGTCTCAGTGCATCCACGCTGCTGCCGCGCTGCTCTACCCCTTCAGCTGGGCACACACCTACATCCCTGTTGTCCCCGAGAGCCTTCTGGCCACTGTCTGCTGCCCCACTCCCTTCATGGTTGGAGTACAAATGCGCTTTCAGCAGGAGGTTATGGAGAGCCCCATGGAAGAGGTATGATGCAGCAGGAAGAGGGCGTGATTTGGAGCGAGGCAGACCTGGATCCGGATCCCGGCTCTGCTGCTAACAGCTGTGTGATTTGGGGCAAGAAGCTTAACCTCTTTAAGCCCGGGCTTCCTCAGCTGTCAAACTGGAATGACGATGTTCAGTTTCTAGGGACCCCAGGGGAAATGATGTGCATAAAGCACCTAGCCCGGTGCCTGACATATAGCGGCTGCTCAGTAAGTCTCTGCTTCCTCCTCCTAAATGATTTCCCTTTGGGCTTAAGGGGTAGCACATCGCTTATTTCAGAGGTCACCCAACTGCCCTGAGCCACCTAGTCCTAGTCAGCTGGCTCTGGGTATCCCATTATTCTCTTAAAAAATTATTTATGTTTGTGTGTGTGTTGGGGGATTAGGTTTATTTATTTTATTATTTGTTTATTTTAACGGAGGTACTGGGGATTGAACCCATGACTTCGGACACCCTAAGCACACACTGTACTATTGAGATATACCCACCCCCCCAATTTCTCTTATGAGCACAGCTGGTCTATACAACACACACCCCACTGGAATTTATCCGCATTGCTTGGAAGTGAACTAACATAGCCTTCCTGAAAACAATGAGTCTTGAAAATGCTGATTTTTTTTTTTCTGTAGCAAGGATCATCTTTCTGATTAGCTCAGAGCTCAGTTGGCTAATGAAGATATAGATCCAAATCCCCTTTGATTTTGTCAGCTTCTTATTTCTTGGCAGTGCCCCCAGTACACCAGAGAGCTCAGTGGTGAAAATGGGCATACGTAACATAAATCTATCTCCAGCGTTTGGAAGAACAACTCAAAACAGGGGCTTTGCTTGAGTTGTCAGTAGGAACTTTCAAAATATAGCATCTTCCTGCAATCTCAAGCCAGAAAAGCTACTTAGCTGTGTCTGCACTGGCTGACCATGGACTCCCTCTGTGTAGACAAAGGGCCTATGAAGGGGAGAGGCCGGGTTCAGGAGTAAGGTAGGAAGGCATGAGACCAGCCCTAGTGGGAAGATTCTCATTTACATAAGAAATAACTGAGGTCCAGTGAACTCAACTGACTTATCTGAGGCTGCACAGGCGATGATGGAGGTAGAACCAAAAGACCTTCTTACAAAGTGCTGCTGGGAGATAGAGAAGCAGGCTGTTTCCCGTCCTTGCGTCCCCGGTCCGCCCAGCCCTCCTCAGAACTGCTGAGTACACATGCCCTTTGAGCCAGCCTTTGCCTTGTGACTAACTGGGCCAGAGTATCAGCCCCATGTTTAGCAATAAGACTTAGGATGTCCCAACCCCAGAAGTTTTGAAACTTCCTGATGCTGCAGCTCCCGCCCCTTGGAAGCTGTGGCTCCTCCCCCAGTGGCGTGGTGGGAAGACACCCCAAGGTTAATAGGACTCCAGTTTCTACTGTCTTAGAGCCTTGGCTTGTTTTATTTCTCAGCAGCTGCTCTGTGAAGCGGGCAGGGGATGAGGAAGGCAGAGGGCTGGGGGCCAGGGTAGGGGTAGGGGGATTCCGACTCCCCATGTCAGCAGCTCTCTGGAAGGGACTGCTTGACAGGCAGTAATACCCAAATACTGGAAAGATTTCTGGGAACAACTTCACAAAAAAAAATGTTCCACACGCTTACCTCCCCCTCCCGCCCCCACCCCAGAGTGAAGAGCCTGCCCTGAATAAAGGCATCTGAGCTGATGTATACAAGAGGTTTCAGGCCTGAACTAGTTCAACTTTCCTTCCTTGATGATGGATAATTACAGGGCCCTCTCTGTCTTTTGGCACGCTTTCCAGTTCCTCTCTTTCTTTTTATTTAGAAGAAGGGAGCACAGAGGGATCATTCACCCTCCGGTCAAGACTAAGGGTCACAAACTGAAAAGAGGGGCCCAGCAGGCACCCGCGTGGCCAGCGCCGGCGTTGGGGGCTTACGCTCATCTGTTGAGCACACGCCTTGACTAAAGGAGGCAGCTGCACTCAGTTCCACCTTAACGTGGACCAGTGTCAGAGCTCCTACCTTGTTCAGGGAAGCCCCAAATCCCAAGTTGATGTGAACGTTTCCATTTAAGTACTGGAAATTCATTCAAGTATTTATAAAATACTCTGAGGCTCAAAGATGCAGATCTGCCGGTTGGAATCCAACCAGCAGGATGCCTGTTCGTCATCTCAGGTCTAGACTGAAGGCCCCTCAGGCAGGGACGCAGCTGGCGCTAGAACTCAGGTCCCCCAGGTTCCAGTCCTGGTCTCGTTCCGCCTGCAGCCTATGGACACATGGTCTCCTCACCGCCTTTCCTTCCCTCTACCTGCTGACCCTGGGCTCATCTCCTTCTCTTGCTGTTTCCTGCTGGGAGGCCCAAAGCTCTGAGGGCTTTTTTTTATTTTTTTATTTTTTTTTTATTTA